CTTATATAATCGGCTAAGTGTGTCTGTTGGTGTGTTTGTGTGTGTGTGAGTGTGTGTGTGTATGTGTGTGTTTGTCCGACCGGAAATACATAACTCCCGTCCCATTGTAGTGAAAGCGTTCAAATTTGAAATAGAGATAGACGGCGGGATGGGAACAGCGACGGTAAGTGATTGGAAGCGATAACAATCGATAGAACTGATAAGGAGCCATAAAAGGCAAAAGCCACAGAGTCCGTAACTCCCTTCGTATCGTCGATGAGGCCTTGGCACTTTGGCAGGTGATGTAGCATGTGAAGGGACCGTTAATGGTTGGTGACAGGGAATGATACCGAGTGATAAGGACTGATAAGAAGCCATAGAAGGCGAGAGCCACTAGATCTGTAGCCACTTTCTGTTAATAGGAGGGTCTTGGTATTTCAATAGGTGATGTAAGATGTGATGGGGTCGGTGACGGGAACAAGGAATAACTGATAACGACTGATAATCAGCTATGAAAAGAGAGAGCTATTAGGTCTTTAACTCTTTTCCTGACAGCGAAACTTTGGCATTTTAAGAGGTGATGTAAGGTGTGACGGGATTGTAGGTACTCGGTGACGGGAACCGATAACGATTGATAATCAGTTGTAAAAATCAAGAGATCACACACTCTTCGCGTCATCACTGGAACCCTTGGCACTTTGGAGGTGAAGTGAACGAGAACCTTTGGTACCAGGAACTGTTAACTGATAAGGGCTATAGGAAACCTCAGAAGGGTGCAGCCACCAGAACAGTTGCATTAATAGTGGAGCCTTGACAGTTTAGCATATGATTTGAGTTTGGTGGATCATAGACGACCGATGAGAGGAACTAATAACAACTGATAAGAGATCATAAGAGCATTTACCATCCGAAGTTCAACCGCTACAGTATTTACGATGTATTTGTGATCTCGACATATTGGATTACGACCGCTACCCAGCAAGGTTTGTGACGTAAAAGATCACGGTTTCTCTTCTTCTTGATATCATTCACGACAGGACGTATTCGACCGCCAATAATCTGGGATTCTCAAGTAATGATGTATCCGTAGAGAAAAGAAGTTCCATAATATCAGCATCTGATAATGGGGTTATTATCACTTGACAACATCTGTGAGTACTAATCAAAGCTTTTACCTAACAAATAAATCCCTCACCGTTCATTCTTTTTGAGATGAAGAGCAAAATTGATGCTCTTGAACATAGACATAAGCATCGGCACATATTGGATACCACTTGCACTGCCCTGCTTATGCCATGCTCCCCTCATTTAGGGTATGTGTCAAAGTTGTAGCGTCTGTGCCGACTTTCATGTTTGGAAGAATATCATTTGTTCCGGAAACGGAGTGGTGTTTTGGGATACAGTAGGCAAACGCAACATCGAACATCAGCAGTTGAGCCTATTGGGCCGCTAGGTTTTGCGAGCATCCGAAAAATGGTAAATTTCTAAAAAGATATATGACGGGAAAAGGATTTCGCTAGCGTTTCTGGAGCAACTTAGACGGTACATGTGTACAGCAACATGATGGGCAGCAAAACTGTTCATATTTCCTTCGTGAACACAATCAGTATTACTTGAAGCAATTCACTACCAAATGCAAGGGTTAGCGCTACTTCTTGGGATCTTTCTTTCATAATATCAATCAATGAATGCAGCAAATGAAAAGGTCAACAGTGGAGGGTTGCCACTCATACAAATAAAGGTAAAAAAGGTCGCGAATGGGTGAGGAAGAGCGACACAAGTCAAACCACCATTTTCGCTCTGCCATGTCGACAGGGAAGTGTCGCTGTTCTCTCTATTGCGTGGAATGGTACACAAGCATTGATATCGAACTCGGATGTACTGAAAAAGTCAACGTACAGCGTTGTACTGCATGTGATCTTCACATCTCCTGCGACAACCATTTAATATTCGCACACATGTGTATATGATACACGAAACGGGGTTGGAACAAAGTCCGCGGAAGCAGAATATTATGACGGCTGATCTTGAACGTTAATCACTTTTGCAGCCGATCATTAATTCAGGAACGTGAGAATGAGTTCGTTTGTTAGGGCAGCTAATTCGCAACAGGAGAATGTACAGCGTTGGAAATGATATTGTGAAGGAAGGATTGATGACGTGGTAAGGAATGGAGAACCGCGTTGAACAACGATTCATCTGTTGAGCTGATCATCGCTCTGTGGGTGCGGCAGAAAGTGTACGTTTTGAGGTAACCTCTATTTACTAACTGAGTTTAGTGTGTTTCTGAAAACGAACTGCATCCAATCCAGCGTTGAGCATATCTTTTGAACTCTCGATATACGTCTCACTAAGCCCACTCATCCGGTGAATATGGTCCCCAGATCTACTTGGATACTCTGTTTTAGCAAAACTCAACCTAATTCAATCATCTTTTTCGAGATTTATACTTCTCTGACCTTTACTCAAATATATTAATCTGATTGGATCATCCAATTTATAGATTCGATTCGACATTTCCCGGCATATTCACAGATTCATATTTCATTAACACGATTCAAGTTCAAGATATCTGCACAGACTTCAGATCCATGTAATATTTCAATGTTCTTTCATCAAAAAACGTAGTTTCAGAAAGCTGGGATCGCCTGCTTTTCGTGTTCATCGAGTTTACATATAACTCAGTAGTGCAAAGCAAAGCTATCCAACATCATGTTCCCTCAATATTGCAGCATACCAATACCGACGACAACTATTACGGAGAATGGAGCCAAGTTCAAGAAGGGGCAGACCGAATCTATTCCAGCGAAAGTGAGCGCCTGCGAATCAGGCGACAGCGAGGAACATCTCAAGAGAGGGCCACTCGCCTGGAAGCCGATGCGNACGAAGGCGAAGAAATGAGACTTCGGAGGAGCGAAGTGCGAGGTTGCGCGACAGCGCTGACAGACAGAGGCGTAGACGCCTGCATGAGTCTCTTCAAGAACGGGCTTTGCGGCTACTGGGAAGTTCCCAAAGGGAGCAATAAAGGCGTAATTCAGAAAATGCAGCCCATAGATCCAACAGGCTTGAGAGAAGCGCTCAAAGTGAGCGTAGAAGGCGTGAGTCGGAGAGTTTCGAGCAAAGAGCGGCCAGGTTGGCGGGAAATTTTCAGCGGCAGCAGAAAAGGCGAGAGTCGGAAAGCGCTGAGGAGCGTCAAACAAGACTCCAAGAACACGCTCGGCTCCAGCGAAGAAGACGGGATTCAGAAGGGGTAGAGGAGCGACAGACGCGGCTTCGCGAGAACGCCCTACGTCAGCAAGCTAGGCGAGAATCGGAGGATGTCGAGGAGCGCCAAACAAGGCTCCAAGAAAACGCTCGGCTTCAGCGAAGAAGACGGGATCCAGAAGGGGTAGAGGAGCGACAGACGCGGCTTCGCGAGAACGCTCTGCGTCAGCAATCAAGGCGAGCTTCGGAAAACCTCGAAAAGCGGCAAGTGAGAGCAGCGCCAGTGCAGAAGAAGACAACGAGAAACCTCTGAGGAACGACAGACAAGATTGCATTCGAACGCTCAGATTCAGCAGAGGAGACGTGCGTCTGAAACTTTGGAAGAACGAGCGCTCAGATCACAAGCGGAGGCGATGCGCCTTTAACGAAGACGAGCGTTCGAAAGCGCAGAAGCGCGCGCATTTCGACTGCAAGAGGACCCTCAGAGACATCAGCGTCATCGCACTCTGGAGAGCGAGCGCGAGCGAGCTGTTCGGTTACAATTAAACGCCTCGGCCAACCGCCAACGACGGAGCAGACCTTCAGGATCCACCGGAGCTGCGCTGCTCACGCGCATTACGGAAGTCAACTAATTAGGAGAGCTCAACCAGCGATGTATAGAATGCGGGGCGTTGCACTTCCGTTGCGAGGTCAAAGCGAGCCACCCAGGCAAGTTCCGCGAGTGCTTCGACTTAGTGAGATTCACCTTGAACTTTTTCGAGTCTTTTCCTGAGGAGTTGCGCAGGCTCTTCGTGCGTGGACCGGATTCAACTGAGGAATTTCGAAGAACTCAAAAGAACTTCTTGGAAAACATAAGGAATTTCAACTCTGCCCTGCGATGGCTTCAATGGGTGCGCAGGTCTAGACGTTACAAGGACGGAGGCCCTACTGTTATAGAATCCATGGGCAGGTTTATCATAGGCTGGGACCTCTCCATCCAAGAGATGGAGAACCGCGCCAATACGGACAAATATATATTGGATACGGAGCCAGCTGCCCAGGAACGTCTCGGAGACGTAAGAAACTCCGAGTGCGAACCGGGGCTCATGCGCTACCTAAGTGGTCTACTAGCAAGTGTCAACGTTTACGCCCAATCTTATAAGATGATGCACGAAGTAGAGCAGATGGAAGTCGCCATGGCTGCC